TTCCGGCCAGCCTGCGAGAGGAAATCTTTCAAGCATGCCATGACGACCCGACGGCTGGACACCTTGGATACAGCAGGACGCTCGCCCGGATTCGTGACAAGTACTACTGGTCGAGACTCCCGAAAACAGTCCACCTGTACACGCGTTCATGCCATGAGTGCCAACGACGTAAGAGGCCTCCAACGAAGCCAGCAGGACTCCTACAGCCGATACCTGCACCGACTACGCCCTTCCAGCAGATCGGAATGGATTTACTTGGGCCGTTCCCAACTTCGACGCAAGGAAATCGGTGGATTATCGTCGCGACCGATTATCTTACACGATACGCCGAGACGAAAGCCCTGCCATCGGGAACAGCGGTCGAAGTCGCCAAGTTTTTCGTCGAGTCCATTCTCCTTCGACACGGCGCCCCTGAAGTGCTGATCACAGATCGCGGGTCATCCTTCATGGCACAGCTGACCCAAGAAGTTCTTCGGCTCAGTCATACCAGCCATCGACGAACATCCGCTTATCACCCGCAGACCAGCGGGCTAACGGAGCGGCTCAACAAGACCATCGCCGACATGATCTCCATGTACGTCGACGTAGAGCACAAGACATGGGACGAGGTGTTGCCGTACGTCACGTTTGCGTACAACACAGCGGCTCAGGAAACCACGGGAATGACACCGTTCCAACTGGTGCACGGCCGGGCGGTTACCACAATGCTCGACGCCATGCTGCCTCACGTGCCAGCAGACGATGGCAACGACGAAGCTCAACTGATCTCCCAGCGCGCGGAGGAAGCTCGTCAGCTGGCAAGAATCAAGATTCAAGACCAACAACGAGTCGATGCACGCCGGTATAACCTTCGTCGCAGGGATGTCCACTTCCAAGCCGGAGACCGGGTATGGGTCTGGACACCGATACGGCGCCGCGGTCTCAGCGACAAACTGCTGAAGCGCTACTTTGGCCCTTACAAGATCATCCGACGCCTCGGCGATCTGAACTACGAAGTTCTACTTGACGGAACGCGCCCATCTGCCAGACGTCAGCCGCGACCCGAGGTGGTGCACGTCGTCCTGCTGAAGCCGTATTACGAACGATAGAGCTTTCCCCTCTCGTCGACGAGTGAACTGTGAACTGCGGCTCGCAATTCTGTTGTCCTTTTGTATTTTTTGTTTTTGTTTTCCGTTTTGTGCTGCATCGGGTCGATGCATTCTTAAAGGGGGGGATAATGCCGCGCGCTGTGCCGGGAAATCAACGCTCGGTCACGGAGCTCTAGAACGTTTTAATTTATTCTTGTTCCGGACGTAACCTCCATTCTTTATTCATGCTGTCTTGTTCTAGAAAGTGCGTGTTCATTCTCCCCCCGAGCGCGCTACTCTCGAACCTTCTCCGCCGAATCTTCGAGATAGTGACCCACTCTTGGTAAGAGGCCGCCCGCGACCTTGTCGAGTCAGTTTTCGCCTGAGCGTTCGATCCTGCTGCTTCGCCGCTTTCGACGCCCGCGACGCTCTGTTGTTATTTTCTTTTGCCTTTTATTCCTGGGCACAAGTTCGCCCCATTAAACGTTTCAGTTTACTCAGTTATTTCGTTGTTTTGTCACCTTGTCATTCGTGACAATATGCCAGAAAGGTTGATTAAGTGAGTAACACCTAACACTGCAATATGTTACGTAGGCGATCATTTAAAGACGACGAGACTCACCATCCTATGGATGTGATTCAAAGTTCGAATGCATACTTCGAAAATTAAATATGAGAATATAAATTTTAATTTAAAAAAGGCTGCAGATAATAGTAAAATATTAGCGCCTAGGTATTGAAAATATTAATTGAAAGATAAAAGAGGCGCATTTCTTTTTAGCGCTCTATAACATTGAGCATACAATAATACTGCTTACGTAAACCGCATCCTGCGGAGGAAAATTAGAGTGTTTTTTTTCCACCGGTAGGTCTTCATAAAACGAAAAAAGATAATAAACCATAATGACAATGAAATAGCCGGCACTAAACAGGCAGTGGCAAAAATCTCCAAAAATACTAATTTATTAAAGAAGACAATATTGACCTTAAATATACTTATTGAAAAAGAAACTTAAAAAAAACAAAAAATGTTATTAGAATCTGTGTACCAGCCAATTTTTAAAGAACCATAATTGTTTTTCATTCACTCACGGAGTATAGAACGAGTAAGTTTATGTTCATACTATTTGACTGTCTAATTAAAGAGTGGTTACACTATACGTATATAACTTCAGACTCTTTTAGTATAGGTTTATAACGAAACAAAAAATGGCATGCATTTTTAACCTTCCGGTAAAATGACGTTAGTCTACTGGAGGAAGAGGATGCCAGCTGGGCGTAAGACTTATTTTTGCCCATTGTCAAAGAACCAGCCGGACCAATGGCACAGACCATGTTTTCGATCGACCGGGTGCTCAGACTACTCGCCTACAAGCTCGACCGCAGGCTGGGAGACTTAAAGGCCTGCTTTCGCGAAACCGCCGCCCAGCCAAGAACGGCGCCAACCCCTAGAACCCCGCCACGGGTGTGCTATACTGCCTGCGTCGCCGGAAATTAGGCCAGCTCGTTTCCAAGCCAGGAGCGCAGGGATCCCTCGCAAAGCGCTCGAGACCGGCCTGCTACAATAGAAGTCAGCAGTCCATGGCGGCTGCGAAGACCACCGTCGCGAAAACCGGTGTTGGGCCTAAAGCTCTTCACCCTCTTCAGCCGCAACATCAACCACTCACTCTCGTCCAGAAGTTTAATTTAAACCATGACTACCATTCTTTTCATTCCCCTGTACAAAACCATTTCGTCATCGTTAGACGCTGCGCCGTGGGCCTCCACGGAATGTGCGACTGGTCTTCCTGCGGCGCCTCGGCCGCTTTATAGCTAACTATTCATTTTTTTAGAAAGCCCTGTTGTTTTTTTGTTTTTAATCGAACCAACCAGAGCGTAAGAGTAACGCTTTTGTGGTTCCCTAGTTTGATGCCCTTAGTTATGTTATTTTTTCTACGCGCAAACTGAACATGTCGCCCGAAGAGCAAGCTGACTTCATGTAATGGCGATTTTAAATGCCCTATGCTGTTGTTATTCATATGATACCTTATATGTTATTCCAAATAACAAAAGCACGTTTCGTAAGAACTGCAAGTATAATGTTTACACCACGACGCTCTGAGCACGGGTGGCTCTTAGATGATGTAAACTTTTGTTTTCGTACATGATATTTTGGGGAGCGATTAAGCTGTTGTGAAAATTCTCCTCACAGATATGCCTCTTGACAAGGTAGGTTTTTGGTTAGTATATTATTTATGATTCTCCAAAATACGTAGCGGTGAAGCCAGCATATCGGAGCCCGAGACTGAAGTAAATTAATGAGCGTGACCTACTTAACTAAATGCCACAAACACACCAAAGGGATGAACAAATATTTATATTCGTTAATTGTCAATCACATAAAACTAAAAAGAAAGGAAGAAAATATAAATACGGTTTTTGAAAATTAACTTTATATTTACGGCATGGTTTATTTGAACATTTACATGTCATGTATTTCATAAAATAATTACGCGCTTGATTGATATACCTCCATGTATTCTATGACACTTCACAATGATAGTTGTTTTACGTTCCTGTTTCTAACGGTTCATTTTCTACAGCTCTTTGAATTCGAGGAAAAAATTGTGCAGGTTTGCCAGTTTGTGTTGTACAAAACCAGAACTAATAAACCTCCACTGATTTCCTATAAAAATCGTCAGTCGCGGACACTACTACGGCGACAAATAGAGGATGCTTGTACAAAGACATTAGTCTGCAAACAAAGGTTAAATATAAAACAATAAAATCGAAATTAAGCTGTATTTCTCCACACAGTGCACTCTAATTTTTTCTTTGAAATTGTTTTCATGTAGTTTTCAAAATGAGTTTAGTTAATTACAATAAAAAGAATATCCCCTAAATTGTGTTTCGCGCTACACAAGTTCCCACATGGACCACAACCCTGAATAAGTGCTGTAATTAGGACCGAATCTAGCGCTTATTTAAAGCTGTATTTCTTTTAACCGCTGTGGTTCCCTCCACGTAATCTGATGTACCGCGATGTAGCTGGTCGAATTTAAGACAATTTTATGAGATACCATGAGGGCGATAGAAGCGCTTGTGATGTCGAGTTTGATTTTGTCCACTGGCGCAGTGAGGTAAAGGGAAGATTTACCGATATTGGGCCAAGCTCAATACATTGACGGATATCCTTTGCTCAAAACATCGAACAAGTTGCTCTCAAACATTGTTACGTTACTGCAATTATAAGTCCTGGCTCCTGTGACACCCTTGAAGAATCTCAGGTATCGAACTTTAAACGGTGCCATGCAAACCACTCAGGTAGTGCGACAGAAAAACGCGAAACATGAAGCAAGTCTGGCAATCCTAAAGATCTATCTTGGGCTTAATAATGTTTTGCTTAAAGCTGTTAGTCATTGCCAAAGTATTTCTTTTTCTCTTCTACGGCGTTTCTTTTTTATTTTGGACGTAATTGTCAAAGCGCCAAACAATATTCAAAGAATCCAGGGGAGAGCCGAACAGTAAGGGATTAGACCCTAACGCAGAAAGTTTGCCAATTTATGCCAGAAATACTCAAACTCTGGCGTAAGAATATCGAGTTTTATTATACTTAAGTTTTGGGCGCTCCCAGGAAAATAAATTCCGTGATAAAAAATTGTTTAAAGAGTTGTGCTTTTTTGGTACCAACCCTTTTATCTTAGTTCTGTAAGGTGAAGTGCTGTACGAATGTTAAAATTCATTGCTCTTTCCAGCGACGTACTAGCAATATATTAGTAGCGCGCTGTATACTTGAACAGACCCTATGTCTGGTTACCTAACCTGGCAAATTTGGTCAAATAAGAATAAAAGCACCCTTGTGATAACTTCGTTTAATGAGCTGTCACCACCAACGAGCAAGCGTGGTGATTACATGAAAGCCCTGAACACGAAAAAAGGTAATACAATACTCACAAATGAAAGGTCTCCTTCAAAGTCAAATGTAGATTTGGCGACGTTTTGTGCGTCTTTAAATGCCGGGTCAATTGTCGTTATCATTCGCTCAATGTATTCCCTGTAGACAGTTTTTTGCTGTGCAGTTAATGCCTGCAAACCTTGCCAACTTAGCGGATCGCTCGACGGTGTCTTCATCTGAAATATTATACGAATTTTATATTATATTCGCTCCTCGTGAGTATTCTGATGATGTGCACGGCTGGGAACGTTGTGGATTCTGCTCCTGATTAAATACAGTCATCTTTGTTAAAATTATGTTTAGCTTAGAGATAGTATGTGTACGTTTACTGCTAAGCAACCAAAACATTATCCATTACCCTTTTTACCGGCCTCCTAACGTTTTGCCGACCTGTATAGAGATTGTATCCAGGATTTCCAAACTAACAGTTGAAAATTGCAATTTTAGCTACGCGAATATTTTGTGGTTTCAATTTGTTCCTTTTTCTTTCGTATTCATTTGAAAGCAACGAGTTTTATGGTTTTGACAGTACTTAAATTTCGCGCAACTGGTTAATGAGCAAACAAGTATCACATCCTCGACTGGCAGTGTTCTTTATCTTATGGCAACGTAGTTTCATGACCTCGAGGAAGAAATTTTCAGCCCGCCAAGTCTTTGTGTTCATTTATTACTTCATATTTTTTTAAAGATAGTACGACTTTTTTGTCACGTCTGTCAAGCGCATTAGTGATTGCGGCAGAACCTACTTTGATTGTGTTAACCATGAAATGAGCAAGATTACGGACTCGAACCTACAGTATTTAATAGCGAAAATGGTAGAAAACAATGGGTTTCAGTTAAACTAAAGGACTACATAATTGTCTACAAAGTACATTCCTTTACGCCGTGCTGCAAAGTAAAACTTAAAATCATATTGGTGCAACACTGCTCTGAAGCTGTTGTCCACTAAAAAAGCGCTTGTTAAAACAAACAAAAAAACCCAGAGCATCAGTGAGCTGGTGTCCCAGATCACTGGGTAGCATAATGTTTGTAGCTAATAAATAGAAAATGGTTATCAATGTTTCTTGAACTAATTTGTTCAACTCAGAAAAGCCATCGATACTTATCAACAAGCCAAAGCAGTTCTTGAGCATTATCAATAGTTAAGATAGTCATAAATACAATCAGAGAAAAGGACGAAAGAGAACCATATCTCTGCAACGATTGTGCGATTCTGCTAAATCAAAGTTTTCATAACCCCTTAAGTAATCTGCTAAACGCCAGTTCATTTGCATTTCGTCATTCAGATTTCATTATTATGTTTTCATTGCCTTTAACGCCGCCGGTATTGTTACGATCGATAACAGATAACCTTAATATAATTCTGGCCTCGGGAGGTGACGATACAAACACAAAAGCTTTTAGAAACACTATTTTTTTTTAAACTGTGGCCCCTGCTGCAACAGTTACTCAATTATTATCCTAAACAAAATAACTAAAAAATGATGAAGTCCTGATCTGCAAACCCGGCTGTCCATTTCCCCCCCAAATAATAGGTCAATTTTTAAAATCTTGGAGCACAACATCTTACCAGATATATCACACTTCCAAAAGTCCACTTTTTTTTAGTTCTCACCAGCAAAGGTTTTGGAAATCACTGCCGTGTAATAGGCAGCTCTTAGTTTTTTTTTATTAATAACGTTCATTCTGGCCTTGATGGGGAATATCAGACTGGCTGCATATTATTAGACTTCTCAAAGGTGTTCGCCAAAATATCTTATGAACTTTAAATATATATGCTTTGCGCTCTCAATATTGACCCTAATATTTCATTTTTGCATGAGCGTGCCTTAATTATCCGATCACAATGTGTAACCATAAAAGGTAATGACTCTTCATCTTCCCCTGCTCACTCCGCTGTACCACAAGGCCCTGTCCTTGGCTTCCTCACGTGTTTGAATGCAGGGTGTTTAATTATAATTCGAACATATTTAATACAAAATATTCGAGAAAGATACACTAATGAGTTTTGTGTAGGTGACTTATACGACCAAGAGGGGCATAATACAGGGGAATAATCTTCACAATAAGCCAAATAACTAATTATGATTTCCTAATTAAATATTTTTATTATTGAAAATAAACACATGGTTCCATTTAAAAACTAGCTGAGGGCATGGAAAGCGATTAAATCAGTCAAATTTATGAAGATTTCAAGCACTTGGGAAGCGCGGTGGTGCCGCAAAGCTACTCGTACACCAGGCGTAAAGTTATTATTGGAAGGACGGGAATGATTAGATTATCATCCGCATTTTCCTAACGCTAACTTGGCGCTTTTGGCACGAGTTATATAGCGTCAATCAAAACTTTTGGTTGGTTTAAAGCTGCCCTTGTTCTTCTTTCTCTTTTGATTCAAAGTAACAAGAAATAATAATGTGAGCTCAAAAGTGGCTTTCCTGAGGAAGAGTTGAAGCTAAAAATACGTTTAGACACCTTGCTCAACGGGTGTTATTTTTCCAAAGTAGTGCAGAAGAAAAGTGGTATTGTAACCCATCCAAATTGAACAGAATTATTGAGCGTTCAAGTGACTCCTCACACACCCATATTTCTTGATGATCTACTCAAATCAATGCATCTAAAGTTTAATGTTTCTTTTATAAATCTCAATACTAGCAGAAGAATAAATAGGATCCCAAAAGCTGCCTTTAGAACGACAACAAAAACAACAATAACTAAAGTTCTGGAATTGGATCTTTTCTCTAAATTTATATATATATGTTTCAACTTAAAGTACGGCATGTGTAATCGCTGTAAAAATTGTAAAATAAACGAAACGAAGGAGTTCACTTTAGGTCCCATGGTACAGCCATTCGTTTATTCGAAATTCAGTGAAATGTTTGTAATTATTCGAAGGAAATTTATTCCTCATCCCTCGGGCTTACGAAATGTCTTAAGTAAAGTTATTTTCATGTTTGCGCCCCAGCTTCTATTAGGAGATAATTTCTGTGATTTATGTTAAAAGTATTCAGCCGTATTCACCAGACGCGTCTGTTTTACTGCCGACTAACAACGTCATCGATTAAAATGAGAGCGTGGCAGATGATAATCACAGCTAGGAAAGCCCACGATAATCTCCGACTCTGCTTAGGGCTTAATCACGCAGAGCGACTTAGGAGGCGACTAAAAAATCTTAATCGGGTGTACGGCTACTTTAGCCGGCATTTTCCGGGTGACTAGCGCTTCGGTGCCATGGCCGACTCCTATCAACCCAGACCACCAGCGCTAATGAAGAACTTAATGTCTCGGAACCCTGCAAAAAACACCCAGAAAGAATCGCAGCAGCAGAGATACCGTTAAAGCGAACTCAGAGAGGCGCTGGACGACGAGATATCAAAGCGCCTTAATGGCGTGCAGTCGCGAAGGAACTTCAGTATAGGTAAAGTAAAACAAGACAACTGCTTAACAAGGACTACATAAGTCTAATAATCAAAGCTAACAGGCAGACCAATATACCTGTTTTCTTCTCGAGCCCCAGACGAAGACTCCGTCTCGCCGAGCTGTCTTTACGTAGGCGAGGGAGGACCCATTAAGGCGTCTGGCTCTTGAGCCGACGGTCCCCCGACGCACCCCCACCAAGGCCTCCCCCTACGGAATGCGCGGTGCCGGGTTTCACCCCTACGGCCGCCGTCCGCTTGAGCGGTCTTCGTCGCAGGACCGTCCGTTGTCTGGAGCATGTCTAGACGGGCCACGGGCCGCCACAGCACTCCCTCCCTAGTGAGCAGGCGAACGCTGTGTTTCGTTGAGAACGAGCCGATCAGGCCAGCGAACTCTGCGGCCTTATTGCCCCGGATGGGGATTCCGTGCAGCCACCGGAGAGCCCTGCTTGCCCCGGGGGTCCGAAGCACCTGCCGTTCTGGGAACGAGGAGCGGGGAAGGCGAGGGTGTTTTAATGTCATTGTCTCCTTCGATGTCTGTGGCGGGTTCTGTCCTCGTGGGCCTGGGGGGTGATATCTCGATGTGGGCGGGCTTGAGACGGTCCAAACAAATCACCTCCTCTCGGCCTCTAATTTTGAGTGTGAAGTGTTTTGGTTCGCGTTTTAACACGCGGAAAGGACCGTCGTAGGGGGCTTGAAGAGGGCACTTTATGGGACCGTGCCTGACAAAAACGTGCGTACAATGTGTCAGGTTCTCGCTGACGTGAGGTTAGTTGTTCTTTGATGTCCTGGTGGCCGTTGGCCGAAGGCTGTCCATCACTGCACGCAGTCGGTCGACGTAGTATGTTGGGTCTGGCACTCGGTCTTGCACGTGCTCGAAAAACTGGCAAGGTAGCCTGAGAGCTGTTCCGTGCACCAATTCCGCGCTAGTGCACCCGAGGTCGGACTTATATGCTGAGCGGATGCTAAGGAGAACTAGGGGTAGGGTCTCTGTCCAGTGGATGCTGTCACCGTGGGCCGTGAGGGCGGACTTCAAGTGGTGATGGAGTCGCTCGACGAGACGGTTGGCTGAAGGGTGGTAGGCCGTGGTGTGCAGGTGCGTCGTGCCAAGGAGTTGCTCAGTTCCCGGAACAGATTTGACTCAAACTGGCGACCCCGGTCAGTTGTTACCCGGGACGGCACTCCGAAGCGGGAGATCCATGTAGAGATGAAAAAGTGAGCGACGATTGGCGCTGTGGCATCTGTGATTGGGACGGCTTCTGGCTAGCATGTAAAACGATCCACCATAGTGAGGAGATACGTGTAACCTTCGGATGGTGGAAGAGGTGCTACGATATCTAGGTGCACACGCTCGAATCGGTTGTATCGGTTGTCCGGCAGTGGGAAGTTTGCTAGGAGCGTGACTGTGTGCCGGTGAACCTTGGAGCGTTGGCACTGAAGGCAGGCCTTTGCCCACTGCGGACATCCCAGTTGATGGAGGGCCAGACGAATTTTGTGGTCAGCAGGCGCTGAGTTGCCTTGATTCCCGGACGGTAGAGCTTGTGAAGGGTGTCAAACACCTTGCGTCGATAAGGTTCGGGTACGTAAGGTCGAGGCGTTCCGTTGGATATGTCGCACTGGAGCTCCGTGTCGCACATCGGTAGTGCAACCATCCGGAACTCGAGTCCACCTGGTGTGTTACACAGGTCCTCCAGCTCGCTGTCCGTCTGCTGAGCGCTTGCCATTTCCTTGAAGTCGACCACTGCGGAGGATTCTAGATGGCA